TTTTTTACAGTATTTTCTACTTGAGGGATTTAGTGAACTTATAACCATTAAGGAAATTTACTTATGTTAAACTGATTATAGCAGAAAGGATTGATTTAATCCTTTTAAAGTGATGAATTCTGAAGGACTTTATAACCACTTTGTTAGCCTTTCATTTTACAGATGAGACTCTGTTGAGTTTTAAAATTCTAATTATGTAATAAAATTAGGACTATAGTCCCCGACTCATCTGTTCTGCTCTTTAAATATTTATGCTACTTGGTTAGGCAACCATTAAAGTGATAATTATTAAGACTGTGTAGCAACTTGGAAAGCTGTTATAATAAGAATAAAAAATGCAGAGTGCCAAATGGCTTCAATATCATTTCAAACAGTGCAACAGACTTGGGTACGTGTGGAGTTCTGAAGCACGGCAGACAAAACTAACATTTGTGTTATGTGAGGGACTGGTAGGTATTTCTCCCTTGATATTCTTGGATGTTGCAGCATTGTATCCAAATGAATCTGTGTCCTGGAAATACTAAGGCTACCATAAAGGAGAATGTAGAATCAAAGGGATTATGCATATATTGACAGCTACGTGAATCTGTAACCCATAACCTGCATTTTGCAGACTTTGCTTAGGAACCTTCAGCACCAGAAATGTATGATTGAGGTTGTATCATCCTAAGCCACTGAAATTCTTCCCTTGTTTACCTGCGTTAAAGCCATTCTTACTTTGTTTTATGGAGTCTACCAATATGGGTGGTGAATGACTTTTTTATGGGGAGTGTTGATCGCTGCTAACCATTTTTACTGGAGGCAGAACATGAAGAAATTGGCTTGTACTGCTACATAAGTGATTTAAATGAGACTGGGAGAATATTTTGTCCCATCATTGGTGACTTTTACTCATTGGGATGAGTTACAAAGAATGAAGAAGGGTGCTTCTTCTCTGGTTGGCTTGATAACTACAAGGGATTGTCTACTTTCAGGTTTGAGAAAGACAAAAGTGGGTCAGATGACTCTTGGGATTACATGGGACTGAATTTTTCCATTTGATGCTATCTAAATGGCTTTTCTATGTGGCAGAGAGCAGTCAGGGAGAAAGTATAAAGTGGCTGCATAAACAATTTAAGGCTGGGCATGGTGGCTCACACCTGTAATCCCAGCACTTTGGGTCGCTGAGGTGGGAGGACTGCTTGAGCCCAGGAGTTCGAGACCAGCCTGGGCAACAAAGCCAGATCTTGTCTCTACAAAAAATAAGCTGGGTGTGGTGGTGTTCGCCTGTAGTCCCAGCTACTCAGGAGGCTGAGGTGGAAGGATCGCCTGAGCCCGTGATGTCGAGGCTGTGGTGAGCTGTGATCATGCCACTGCACACTAGCCTAGGTGACAGAGTGAGACTCTGACTCAAAAAACAAAAAGGAAAAAACAGCTTAAGCAGTGTATTGTTTTAGACCCTGACTTTGCCAAGTATATTGCAATCATATTTTGCTTGTCCACTATAACACATGATGCAGGCATCTTAGCCATGGCTGAGTCAGTAAGATACGTGTGAAGCTAATGGATATTTAATATATTGTGTAAACACACTCCTTCACTGAGGGATTAGGTTTCACCTTCTAAAGTGTTTGGGTTTTTCTGTATTAGGCTTGCTAAATGGTAGGTGGTACTTATTAATTAATAGCTCAAGTAACTGATTCCCCTATATATCACTGTGTTTTCCTGCTAGGATGTTGAGTTGTTATAGCCATAGCAGTTCCATTTCAGGGAAGGGAAAAGGAGCTGGGAACAGGAGAGAAGGGGTGTGTGAACCAAGTAGAGGACACTGTGTCAGATATATAGACAGTCCTTGCTGCCAGATCTCAGATGATCGTTAATTCAGTTTTCCACTTTGGTTTAAAGAAATTTTTCATTCTCTTTTCCCAAAGACACATCTTTCTAAATAAGATCTCTTATCCAACCAATCCTCTGCTCAGAAGTATCAAGTGAATCTCTCATTGCTAGTAGATCAAAACTTTATTATATACCGGCATCCTCAGCCCCCACAGCCTAGTCTTATCTAGCTCAGGGAATCATATATCCTGTCAATTCCCTTTTGAGTCACTCTTCCAAAGATGGAGGCTCCTTTTTTCCCTTTTCTCTGATTATACTCCACTCCTACTCTTTCCTGTCCCAATTCTTCACTGATGCTATCTTATTACTACATTTTTCCCTTTCCAGCCTTTTCTATGGTGTATTCTCCTTTTCTATGGTCTCCCATAGTATTTCTGTGTTTACTTTTGACTTGGCATTTATTCGTAAAGAGTTCAATAATAATAAAACTAGAGTAGTGTCTTAGTTAGCTTGGGTTGCTGTAACAAAATGCCATAAACTGGGCAGCTTAAACAATAGACATGTATTTCTCACAGTGCTGAAGGCTGAGAAGTCCAGGATCAAGGTGCTGACCAATTCACTTCCTGGTGAGGGCTCTTTTCTTGACTCACAGATGGCTGCCTTCTTGGTGTATCCTCAAATAGCAGAGAAAGAGAGAGAGGGAGAGAGAGAGAGATCTTGGGAACCCTACTTGCATGATCTCATCTAAACCTGATTACCTCCCAAAGGCACCACCTCCAAATATCATCACATTGGGGGTTAGGGCTTCAGGAGTGAATTTCAGGGCAATAAAAATTCAGTCCATTACAAATAGCTGCCATTTATTGTGTTGATGATGTGCCAGACATTGTTTTCAGCACTTTACATGATTATCTCATTTAATCCTCACTTTATTTCAAGAGGTAAAATATTATTGTCCTCGTTTTATAGATAAGCACAGGAGACACAGAGAAGTTAAATAACTTGCCCAAATCATAGAGTTGTCAGTGGAAGATCTGAAATTCTATCCCAGGCGGGATCCAGACAATGTTCTTAACCACAGCTCTAAATTGCCACTAATAAATATCCTCTTAGATGTTTCATTTTCTTAACATTTAAACTCCTTAAGGTCAAAGAAAAATATCCTTTTTCTTTACCTTGTCTCATGGCCCTGTGCCTGGAACAAGGAGATGATCTGTAAATATCTGTTTGTTTATTTATGTGTTCTATTGTCAGTGATCAGTGAAGTCCTAATAGGTTTTTCTGGGAATTTTGCTCAATGGCAGGTGAATTTAGTAACTTGTTTGAAACCAAATCTCAACTTTTGTTCTGTGCTTTAAAGTAAGCATTTTAAGTTTGTGTGTTTGTTTTCTTTTTTTTGTTTTTTTGAGTTGGAGTCTCACTCTGTTGCCCAGACTGGAGTGCAGAGGCTGTTCCCGGTCACCGCAGCCTCGACCTGCTGGGCTCCAGCAATCCTTCCACCTCAGCCTTCCAAGTAGCTGAAATACAGGCGCGCGCTACTACGCCCGGCTAATTTTTTGATTTATTGTAGAGATGAGGTCTCACCAAGTTGCCCAGGCGGGTCTCGAACCCGTGGGCTCAGGCAATCCACTTACCTCAGCCTTCCATAGCGCGGGATTACAGGCTGAGCCATCGAGCCCGGCTGTGTGTTTGTTTTCTTAAGCAATATTTTTATTACTTGAGTGTTTGATGTCGGTTAAAATGAGTAACGGCCACCTTCATCTTCTTTGAGGTATCAGATCTTGAAACTATACTTAATTTTGTACTTAAATCCCCTTGATTTCTTTGCGGGGAAAAACAGGCTCTTCAAGGAGTAAATTGTGAAGGTTGGTTATGCTGAAGTACCTTTAATGGGTATCCTATGCATACAGTGTTGAACTCTTGGATGAGCTTATCCTTCCTAGTAAAGACAAAATAGTTACCAAAAAAAAGAGCTAAAGCCTAATATTGTTGAAGTTTGTTTATTATATTTCTTTGATCGGTTGTTTATAACAGCATGCAGCTCGATAAGGTAGGTACTCAGAGCTAGATATTTTGAGTGCTCTGGTGCCTTTGTATTCATTGGTGGTCTTTGTGAAACAAAAGCTATTTCAGGTTAATATCATTTTAAAAGTACGTGGAAAGGTACTGCATAACTTGCAGAATTAAGGGGAAAATGACATCATTTGACAGTCTCAGGAAGAATAAGAATTGTGATAACTTTTGCATCTTAGGTGGCCAACCAGGAACAGCTCAGTTGTTGAAATGGCTCAGTTCTGTTTTCAGTCTATGTACATGCTCAGTATTCGTGTTTCTTGGGAGGGAATCAGATTTGCTCTAAGCTTGAGCCAGGTGTCTGTTCCTTGATGGGGTTGATGGATAGGCCACCCAAAGCACATGAAATGAAAGAGGAATATTGCCAAAGCAAAAAGTGGAGACACTGTTACCAAACAAGGCAAAAACAACAGACGCCTGCTTCTAGCAAGTGTCATCTCAAAGCACAGTGAATTTAAGTGACAGTTTTGACCTAGCCTATAAGTGATTTTGTTATTACTGGAATTTAATCGCCAAGTTATTCCTCTACATGGAAAATCTTAGTAGTTTAATGCATCAATAAGTGTTTTGTGTTCAATTGTGACAACTTGATCTTTCGAATCATATTTTTAAAAATGACATTTATGTAGCTATTTTCAAACATACACAAATATCTAACATGAACCTATATGTTACCATAATCCAGCTTCAACGGCTGTCAGCATTTTGTCAATCTTGTTTCTGTTGATTGCATCTTAAAGCATTATTGTAAGTTGCTTTTATGACTGGTTGTATAAAAACTCACAAGATTTAATATGTCTGATAACTATGCTTCAAGAACATAAATCCAAGTATCAAACGGTCATCAGTCTTATAACCAAAAAAGTTAACAAAAGATAAGCCCCCCTTGTCCCCATGAGACAGCAATGCATTATTTACCTGGAAGTCGAAGTTGATTTCTGTCAGCAAGGCTTTTTTTACTGGCTTCAGCCTGATGAATCAACTCCGTGACACCTCTGTGTTCATATTAGGTGCACAGGGGGACATCAGAGGTTTCATTTGACTGGGAGGTCTAGATGGCAGCATGCACGTGCATTGTATGAGAGCTGAACGAACTCTAATCTCTTTTGCAGTTGAAAGATGCATGAGTGTGATGCAGTCCGGGACACAGATGATCAAAGTGAAGCGTGGGACCAAAGGACTCGTCCGGCTGTTCTACCTGGATGAGCACCGGACACGCCTCCGATGGCGACCCTCCAGGAAGAGCGAGAGGGCAAAAAGTAAAACCTTTGATTTCTTTGCTTGACTTGACACAGCAACACATAGGTTAGGCTGAGTAGGCTCTGGAAGTTTCAGATCTGTGGAAATTTCGTTTTTTTGCACTTCTCGGGATTAGCTGGTTTTGGATATTGAGAGACAGAATGAGTGATGGCCACTCTGGGGAGTTTAAATCCATAAAAAATTTCTTGTCCATGAATGCTGAATGTTGAAGACGTGATTTTTGGTTTCTTTGAGGGGGTTGGTAGGAATAAGGTTTGGCAGCCCGAGGCCTTTTATTTTCTCATAAAACGTGAAAGGCATCATAAATCCAATGGGCTTTAAAGTGTACTGCCATATTCTGAACACAATTAACTGATTGATGAATTAACAACACTGTTTTAATGATATCAAGTAAAATAGTTTTGATGTGAAACTAGTTAAAGCTTCTTTCCTAGTTAAAGCTTCTTTCTTCTATACTGTATTAGGTTTCCCAGAGAAACAGAATCAATAGGATAGATAGATAGATAGATAGATAGATAGATAGATAGATAGATAGACAGACAGACAAACAGACACTTGAGAGGGGGCTTATAAGGGGAGGTGGCTCGCATGATTATGGAGACTGGAAAGTCCCACAACAGGCCATCAGCAACCTGGAGAGAACCAGGGAAGTCGGTGGTGGTACCTTTGTTCTTAGGTACAAAGGCTTGAGAGCTTGGGGACCTGACGGTGAAGCTCTCAGTCTGTGGCTGAAGGCCTGAGAACCTGGAGGCTGCTGATGCAAGTCCCAGAGCCAAAGGGAGAACCTGAGGCCGAGCATAGGTTCTTTTCCTTGGGAGTCATGCGGGGAATTAGTTCATATGAGAAGAAAATCGGGACCTCATCATTAAGGTGGAAGCAAGAAGTGGATGATATATGTGGCAGTTGAAAGGATATGCAGCACTTCTGATTCATGCTTAAAAATAAACAGCAGACCCAGATGCAGTGGCTCACTCCTGTAATCCCAGCCCTTTGGGAGGCTGAAGGGGGAAGATTGCTTGAGCCCAGGAATTTGAGACCAGTCCGGACGATATAGCAAGACCTCATCTCTACAAATAATCAAAAAATTAGCTGGATGCGGGGGGCACGCTCCTGTAGTCCCAGTTGCTCAGGAGGCTGGGGCAGAAGGATCACTTGAGCCCAGAAGGTTGAGGCTGTGGTGACCTGTGATCATGCCACTTTACTCCAGCCTGGATAACAGAGGGAGACCCTACTCAAGAAATAAAAATAAAATGAAAAAATTAAGCAAACAAAGAAAAATTAATTTTTTAGGCTGAAATGATCATTCTTGCCAGGGCTCGTCTGATCCAAACCTTCAGTGTTGCTCCATTGCTTAAGTCATGCTCATCTCTGTCCGTTATTCCAGCCTGGCGTCATTCCAGCCTTTCCAGCTTTGTCTCCCATTATTCCTCCTGACCTGAGCTTTCCAATCCAGCATGAACGGCCTGTTCAGCATCCCTGGCATGGGCCTTATGTTTCGCATCTCTGCCTCTCCTTGGGTGCCACCTTGCTCCTCTCAGCTTCTCCAAGCTCCTCCCTACCTTCATTATAGCCCCACAGTATCCTCTCCAGGAATACCAGTCACATTTAGCAGGACTATTCAGTTACCAGTCAGTCAATTTTTTTTCTTTTCAGTTTTCTTTTTGTGAGTCAGGGACTCACTCTGTCACCCAGGCCGGAGGGCAGTGGCAAAATCACAGCAGCCTTAACCTTTTGGGCTCAGGCAATTCTTCCGCTTTACCTTCCCAAGTAGCTGGGACGACAGGCACGTACCACCACACCAAGCTAATTTTTTTTATTTTTTATTTTTAATAGGGACAAAGTCTTGCTATGTTGCCCAGGTTGGTTTCAAACTCCTGGTCTCTAGCAGTCCTCTCACCTTGGCCTCCCAAAATGCTGGAATTACGAGGTGTGCGCCACCATGCCTGGTCTTTTTACAGTTTTCTATCTATCTTCTCATGCATGTGGCAAAACACCGGTGGCTCCAGGACGATGTGTTTTTTTTTCTTTCATAAATATGTAAACTATAGGTTTGATACCCTTTAGAAGGTGTCAAAGGGTCATTAGTCACTCTTTCTACCCATCTCACCCTGAGGAGTATAGCTATCTTTTTAATATAAATTTCTAGACCTCTGGAATTATCGTTTTGGGAGGACATTGTTAAGACTGCTCAGACAGGTAATGTATTATCTGGGGGTTTCTAGCAGAAAACAATAGGGCCTGTGTTTCACGTATAGACTTAAAACCACAACTTGCAGGCAATGAATTTTTGCATGCTTATTTTTTATATTTAAAATGATTTTGCTTTTTCTTATCTCTTATTCCATGTAAATAAAAGTCTTCACTTTTCTTGCCACATAACTGTGTAATCTCACTACCCTTACAGTACTTATCGATTCCATTTACAAAGTCACTGAGGGTCGGCAGTCTGAAATATTCCACCGACAAGCTGAGGGGAATTTTGACCCCAGCTGCTGCTTCACCATCTACCATGGGAACCACATGGAGTCCCTGGACCTTATCACCTCCAACCCGGAAGAGGCCCGCACCTGGATCACCGGCCTCAAGTACCTGATGGCTGGCATCAGTGACGAAGATTCTCTTGCCAAGAGGCAGAGGACTCATGACCAATATCCTTTTTTGTTAGGAAAATAAAGTTCTACCTTTATTTTGAGCTTTGTATGTGAAGGGAGGATTAGATTATGCTTGTTTTTTCTCATAATTTTCCCTTCTGTGTCTTTCTTCATTCCTAGCAGACTTTTCTCTCCTCCTCATTCTCAAGTAAATGGATACATGAAATGTATAAAAACTAGGCCGGGCATGGTGGCTCATCCTGTAATCCAAGCACTTTGGGAGGCTGAGGTGGGAGGATTGTTTGAGCCCAGAAGTTCGAGACGAACCTGGGCAATAGACCTCCTCTCTGCAAAAAAACTTTAAAAAAAAAAAAAATAGCAGTTCATGGTGGCACACACCTGTAGTCCCACCTATTTGGAAGGCTGAGGTGGAAGGATCACCTGAGCCCAGGAGGTCAAAGCCGTGGTGAACTGTGATCATGCCACTGCATTCAGGCTGGGTGGCAGAGTGAGATCTCAACTCAAAAAAAGAGGAAACAAATAGAAATCTAAGTTTGCATGAACTCTGGAGCAGAATCCTTCTGAAGAGATTGAATGTAGCTCCCCAGTTGGAGGGATCCCCAAATATAACCTATAGTTTCCTGAGAGGAGGTGCCCATTAAGTATCATTGCCTATTTTTTTAAAAAATTGTAGAAGTATTCATTAACTACAATCAGGAAAACACTGATTTGGATCAGAGAAAATTCTACTTGTTATAAAGTCAGTTTAGTTTAACAAATGTTTTTTGAGTTGCAATTATTTACCAGATGCTAAGCAAATTCCTGCTTTTTCTCACTCTGTTTTTAACTTCAAATTTGAGAACTGAATGGGCTGCTACTCAAGGAGAAGTTATTTTTTACTTAATAACATTTACCCTCTCTAAGTAGCTGGAGAAACGAATCTAAGTCTCTTTCTTGATTAGACCCATTCTTGTGGTCCTGCAGTGCTGACAAGATAAATGATTAATGTGTTCGGTTTGCAGGCATGCTTCCTGCTAGGATCTACTGGGCATGTAGCAAGGCCTTTCTGGCCTCAATTTCCTTATCTGTAAAGTATCAGGCGAGGGTATCAGGTGAGCTGACTGCTTTGGTTCCCTTCTTCACATTTTGAATGGTCTTAACATACAGGTGCCCCTGTCACAGCAGAGGGTGGCATTGCTTCCTTGCCATCATTGCAATGTGTGTCCTAATTTTTTTCCCAGGAGTTAGTGAAAAATTTGTGCTTCTCTAGTGACAATTCCTCACCCAGGGATTGTTGGAGCAGAATGGAAATATTCAGCCCATGAAAGGATCCTGACAGTGTGAAAAGTCTGAGTTGATGAGCCATGATGTTTTCATCAATATTCACAGCATGCGGATAAAGGCAACTAGGATTTAGAATTAAGCAAAACACAAACATTGGAATTAGCTTTCTGTGTTCAAATCTGCCAGTTTGGTTTCCAACTCTTTAACATTTGGTAAAAAAAATGCACAGCCAAAAATACTGAATCAGTAAGAATGCTTTCTGGTACAAGTGGCAGAAACCATACAAACAGTGCCTTAAATGATAAAGAATGTTCGTTTTCCTCGTAAATGAGAGATCTGAGATGGGGCAGTCTCTTGAGTCAGTAGCTCTCAACACAGCTAGCAAAGTTTCTTCTTCTCATTAATCTTTTTTTTTTTTAAGAAAAGAAAAACTTTTCGGAAACCCTCTCAAAGACAACCTCTCATTGCTGGTCAGAATTACTAATTGCAGGCCTATTCCTAAATCAATTTCTTGCATGAGAAATTGACCTGATTAAACTTTTATCTCAGGACCCTTTTTTGTAATCTTAAAAACTGATGATTCTATAAGTTTAGAGTTTTTGTTTATGTGAGTTCTGGCTATTGATATTTTTCATATATTAGAGATTAAAACTGAGAATTAAAAAATATATTAATTTATTTACAATCATAATAAACTATTGCATGTTAACATATTCATTTAGAAAATAACTATTTTTCAAAGCAAAACAAAAGAGAAGAATAGTATTGCTTTACTGTTTTGCAAACCTCTTTAATGTCTGACAGTAGAACACATAGATTCTCATGTCTGCTTCTGCATTTGATTTGTTGTGATGTGTTGTTTTGGTTGAAATACATGAAGAAAATCCAGCCTCTCACAGATATGTAGTTGGTAAAGGGGGGACCTCATGTTTGTGGTGACCTCCAGGTCTATATTTTGAGGATGGTTGTAGTAAGGCCAATATTCATTTCTCCTTCCAGTTCCCACCCACTGTGAAAACACATGGCTTTTAGATACCGGAACAAATTTGAGGTTGTTTTAGCAAGGAAGAAGGGAGAGCAGTGGTTGTAGGGGAAGCAATCAATTCCTGAAGCTTCCAGCTTTACACCAGTTAACTACTACAGATTCACAGTATTTCAAAGACTCTAGTCACTTATATAAGTCTCTCTCATAATCTTTGAAAGAGACAAGTTACGGTGGGTATAAATTATGGAAGCCTCTTTTTCTTTATTGGTCAATAGTTTTTTGGGACCTGATTATCATGTTTACTGACACTTGAAAATATTTGTATTTTGAGGGATTTATATTCTGGAAATTACATTTTCTAGAAAGCAAGTATACTCCAATGCTATCCAGAGGAACCATTTTACAAGAAATATGGAAACAGTTGATTTTTGTGCCAGTGAAGGAAAAAAAATGGAAATAATAAATTAATGAATATTTTGTAAAGAGGAAGCTGAAGTCAAAAGTAGGGAAGGTTAAGTTGAATCAGGAAATCATTCTCATACAGATTTGTCAGAACTTAATAGGGTTTTAGATAATAGTAGTATTGCTTAATAATAGAATCGCATCCTTAATTGGACATACATTTAAGTACATTCATTGAGAAGAACAGATTTGAGATAGTCATTATTCAATTTTGCTTAGGAATGAAAATTTCAACTGTGAATGAGTAATGAGAATAATGCATCTTCAATGGCTGCATGAGAAAATCCATCCAGTCTAGAGTGTAAGTTATTTCTACAGTATGGTCATGTTGAGTGGAGGCAGATACAGTGCTCACACTACCTAGACGAACTCCAGTGTCATAGTTAAGGGTTCAGACCCTGGGACTGTCCTGCCTGGGTCCAGCCCCACTCTGCCTATACAGTGTGAGTTTGAGAGAATGACTTACACCCTTTGGCCTCTGAGTCTTTTCTATAAAAATGGTGTGTAAAGGTCAAGTGAGTTGATATACAAAGTCCTTAGAACATGTCTAGCACATAGAAAGCACATTATAAATCATAGCTACTGTTATTATTGCCAAAGAGAGATCAAGATTGTCAAATCATTTGCTTTCCTGTTCAGATTAAAGTCTGAAATCTCAGTGGCTCTCTAATGTGAAGATGATGCTGTTGGCTCCTAGGCTCAGCATGTTTTCCTCACCTTGTCTCATGACCCCTCAAGGGAAATGATTATCTGTAAAAGGCTTTAGACAATCCCTTTCGTATGTTGTAAACGAAATCCTTATTTTTTCCCTCAAGCTGCAGGGTAAAACTGGCTTGCCACCTATTTTTGTATGGGCTCTTGAGCTAAAAATGGGTTTTCAATGGTTGAAAAAATCAAGAGAAGAATAACACTTTGTGACGTGAAAATTATTTGAAATTCAAATTTCAGTGTCCAAAAATTAAAAAATTTGCCAGGCATGGTGGCATGCACCTGTAGCCTCAGCTACTTGGGAGGCTTAAGTGGGCGGATTGCTTGAGCTCAGGAGTTGGAGGTTACAGAGAGCTATGATGGTACCACTGCATTCCAGCCTGGGTGATGCCAGCCTGTTTTTGTTTGTTTGTTTGTTTGTTTGTTTTTCAAGACCATTGTATAGTTTCATGATAGAAGATATTAGACCATTACTTTTCGTTCAGTCTTACTCTCCAAGATTTTCTCTGTGGAATGACTGTGTTTGTCCTCTTAAAATTATTAGGTATATGACTATAAATTATTACTTCAGGGCTTTAATGGGCACATATCTTAATTATGAAAAACAAATTTAAGATATACTTCACAATACTTACACTATATGTACCATTACTGTAAGGAATGGTTTTTCTGTTCATGGAATCTGAGAGTTGGAAAATGTTTCATGGTTGAAAGTTGTGCTTCCTGATATTATAGATGAAGAAACGGAGGCTCCAAGAGGTGACATGAGTGATGCACTGTCACCGGGCCAGGTGAGCAGGAGCATTAGGTATATTAGGTATATTTCTTGGTTTGACTCCACCTCTGTTTCTGCCTTACCAGTCTCACATTCCTCAAGTCAATTGTCAAAGCCAGTTTGTGTGTTGGTGCTAAAGGCCTTGCAGACACAAGCCCATCCTAAAGGGTTTGTATCTGCAGAATATGCTCATACTTAGGATTTGACTGTCCCCCGCCTCTTCTCTGGAGAAGTCTGGTTAAGAATTGTAGAATAGGGTAACTCCCTTGGGTCCCCTCCCACTGTGGGAGCTTTCTATCCTCTCAATAAATTCTGCTTTTTCAAAATAAATAAATAAATAAAAGAATTATAGAATAAAAGGATAAAAATATTACTGTCATTGTAACACAAGACAGATGGCCCAAGGGACCAAGTGGGTTCTTGGCTTCGTGCAGGAAAGAATTCAACAGCGAACCGACAAAGTAAAGTGAAAATAAGTTTATTAAAAGAAAAGAAGAGGCCGGGCTCGGTGGCTCAGCCTGTAATCCCAGCACTTTGGGAGGCCAAAGCAGGTGAATTGCCTGAGCCCGCGGGTTCGAGACCAGCCCGAGCAACTTGGTGAAACCTCATCTCTATAATAAATAAAAAAAATTAGCTGAGTGTGTAGCATGCGCCTGTAGTTCTGGCTACTTGGAAGGCTGAGGTGGAAGGATTGCCTGATCCCAGCAGGTCGATGCTGGTGTGGCAATGAGCTTGCCACTGCACCCTAGCCTGGGCGAGAGTTGAGACTCCAACTCAAAAAAAAAAAAAAGAAAAAAGAAAAGAAGAACTGAAAGGGGGTTACTCTGTAGGCAAAGCAGCTTCATATATTGCTGGGGTCTCAGTTGGAAAATGAACTTAAGTTTATTGAAAGGACAGAGAGTTGGCTACTCCATGGGCAGAGCAGCCTGGGCTGGTCTATAGGAATAACCATAGCTGTACATCACTGTTGTTTTATTTTGATAGTTATCTCTTGATTATATGCTAAATGAAGTGAATTATTCATGGATTTTCTGGGAGAGGTGAAGATTTCTAAGAACTGGGGTTCCTTCCAGTTTGTTGCTATACGTGAGCAGGGATGGAACTGTGATGGGCTGGAGGGTGTGTCATCTAGCATACTAATGTATTATAATGAGCATATAATGAAGGACAGGGTCAGGTAGCAGACAGATTAGTCGCCATCTTGATTTTAGCTGGCTCTAACTGATTCTTTTTTAGTTTTTTCAAATATGTGGGATAAAATTCAGTGTTAGGTATACAAATGTTCATTGTGCAGGTACCCTTGTTGATGAGGTGTGCCCCCCTCCCTTGGCAGCTTTTCACTACTGCCAATCCTGCCCCCACCCTCCCCTGGCAGTTTCCCACTACTGCCAATCCCTTTCTTATAGTATTATGATAGTTGTTCAAGGACCACTTATGAGTGAGAACATGTGATACTCGGTTCTTTGTTTCTGTGATACATCACTCAGAATGATTACAGACTCTAAGTCCATCCAAGTTGCTGCTCTCTGTGGATGCTTAGGCCACTTGTATACCTAATCCTGAATTATACCTCACATCTTAAAAAAGAAAAGAAAAGAAAATCAGATTATTTACCTCTAGAGAAACTGTCTCAGTCACATGTCCTGAGAAATAGCTTTGTTGTTTATCTTAGGAAACTAATACTGCTGAATTACTATCTCATTCGGACTCATTTAATCACTTTCTTGAACTCTAGCCCAAAACTTTGTGAAGTACAGATCGGTATCCATAGTCAAAAGAAATGGAGCTCACTAAGTAGGTGCTGTGTGCCCAGAAAACAGGGAAAAAAAATGAGATCCAAGTACTTATTAGTAATTGGCTCAAATCTTTCACCCTTTTGATTCTTCAGCTATTTTCCTCTAGGTCTGGGTCTTTAACTTCCCAGTGTTATATATAATAAGGTCCTGATTGAAGTCTGTGTGGAAAAATTGAACTTAAAAGAGCTGGGCTAGTTATTTTAAAATGTTGTAAAGGGAACAAAATGTGAAATAAGGTATTTACAATTTGAAAATCACCTCTATTTAACTTTGAAAGAATAAAACTTTCTGGTTGTTTTTAGTTTCTAAGGTACTATCTCCTACAGTCATAATTTGAATTACATAAGAAATAGAAATGTGCTATGTTACCACTAGAAAGTTAATTAATATTTTGATTTAAAATGAAAATCTCTCACTTGATGTCACCTATTGATAAGCAAATATGTCCATTGTCTCTCTCCTCTCCCATTTCCTGGTTTTAAAACTATACCTTGGCTAGGCCTGGTGGCTCACATCTGTAATCCCGGTGTTTTGGAAGGCCAAGGCAGAAGGATTGCTTGAGGCCAGGAGTTCGAAATCAGTCTGGGTAACATAGCAAGACCCCATCTCTACAACTAATTTAAAAATTAGCTGGGTGTGGTGGTACATGCCTGTAATCCCAGCTACTCTGGTGGCTGAGGTGGACGGATCGCTTGAGCCCAGGAGTTTGAGGCTGTGGTGATCTATGATCTTACCACTGTACTCCGGCCTGGGAGACAGAGCAAGACCTTGTCTCTAAAAGTAAAATAAAATAAACATAAATAAAGCAATGCCTTTTTCTACTTTGATTCTCTGGTTTCTTTTCATCACCATATCATTTCTCTCTTCATTACCCTTCAAACTTTGAAGTTCAATTGGGCTTTCCAAATATACACACAATCCCTTCTTTCTGTAACTGACCCTTCAACAACTATACATCATCCATTTTAAAAATCCTTTGCTAAAAGTTAACTGGGAATTTTCAACTCATCTGCTTATTACCCTTTATTCCACCTTCCCACTATGTAAAACAACCCCAGGCTTATTTCACGGACAATCTTTTAAAATGTCAGTTCACATCATGTAAATCCTGTGTGTCTAAACTCAGTCACTTAGCCTCCTACCTGAGCTTTGAGGGACCCGCTGGCATATCACACTTGAACTTCTTGCTACTGCCCATGATTTAGAAATTTGGGCCTGTTAGGTGAGAAACATCAGAGTTAGTAATAGGAAGAGGAACCTAGTACAGACCTTAAGTGCAGGAGAAAAGAATGCTAGCTCAGGTTGCAAGAGACCTGAGTTGAGACCTGATTCTAAACTAATTCTTATCAAATTTCTCCCTCTCATTTTATACCCTTATCTGAACAATGATGAGATTGAACTAGATGGTCTAATTTACTAAATGTAGGAGTGAGACTGAGAAAAGAGAACTGAAAAGATCATGTACTCTGGGGTATTGTGAAGGTAAAAAGATACTGTAAGGAAGGGCATACGGGAAGATAATGTCTACATTTGCTACATTCAGCCTTTCATCCTAAAGAGATTCTTTATCAGGAAGTTTTTGAGAACCACAATAGTGGGTCATTTCTGCCTTGTGCTATCTATATGCCTCATAGATGAAGAACCCTAGCCTTACAAATGAGAACTAATAGGGACACAAGATTTGTGTTATGAACATGGTGGCGTAACTGAGAAAAACTGGTCAGGAAAGGAGAGTAAAGAAGGAGCAGCATATAAAGTCATGTAGAAATATTTCACACATATAGAGTCTGCTAATGGAGATGTGAATTAAGATGTCTCCTTGCAGCTGGGCACGGTGGCTCATGCCTATAATCCCAGCAATTTGGGAGGCCCAGGTGAGAGGATTGCCTGAACCCACGGGTTTGAAACCAGCCTGGGCAACTTGGTGAGACCTCATCTCTGTAATAACTCAAAAAATTAGCCGGCGTGGTGGTACCTGCCAGCTACTTGGAAGACTGAGGTGGAAGGATCACCCGAGCCCAGCAGGTTGAGACGGCGGTGGCCATGAGTGTGCCACTGCACTCTAGCCTGGGCGACTGATTGAGACTCCAATTCAAAAAAAAAAGATGTCTTCTTGTTAGAGTGGAATTAGAACAAGCAATGTAGTTTTTTTTTCTCTTGTTATTGATAAAATATACTGCTTTTGCAATAATAGATTTAAGATTTAAATTGGATAAGATTGGATACGAATATTCGAATTATAGAAGCCCTCAGAATAATCTGATTTGACTCTCATTTCACAGTGGAGGGAACCACTTCTTTAGGTCTGCCATCCCTTTTCTATTTTGTTGTTACTGTTGTCATTGTCATCATCACTATTAGTAGCTCCTCAGAACCTGTTGCTTGCTGGACCTCCTCAAAAGAATTTCTTCTCAGGTACTCTCTTCCTAACAAATGACTTTGTGAGTGTTCTGTGAGAGAGCATTTTGGTGAAAGCACAAGTGTTTTCTTTGACCTTTCTGCATGTGGGTGAAGCAGACCTTTGAGGAAGCTGATAAGAATGGGGATGGCTTATTGAATATTGAAGAGATACACCAACTGATGCATAAACTAAATGTCAATCTGCCCCGGAGAAAAGTCAGACAAATGTTTCAGGTAAGTTTCCACAATTGTATTGGCTTTATATCAAATACACAGAGATTACTAATGTACTTAGGTATATCACAAGGCTATTTTGGGCCGGGTTTGGTGGCTCTCACCTATAATTCCAGCACTTTGGGAAGCTGAGGAGGAAGGATTGCTAGAGCCCAGGAGCTTGAGACTAGCCTGGGCAACATAGCAAGACCTCATCTCTGCCAAGTGAGACAGAGTAAGAGTCTGACTCAAAACAAAAAGAAAAAAAAGGTTATTTTGTTTTGTTGGAAGCTAATATTATGTACTCTGTACTTTTTTTTTTTGGATGACAGGCTTTTGTCTCATCAAATAAAAAAAAATACTTTATAAGACTTAAAATGCATCCAAAATTTCACTTTCTGAAATTTTTGTTATTGTTGCTGTTTTTAGAACATAATTAAGCACTTTTCCTGACACTTAAAAAATGGAGTGAATTCGATTGAGTCCACTTCAGAAGACAATCATATCTATTCTGATCCTCACAGGGCTATTGTGAGGATCAGCATACAGACTAAGTAACAAGACAAAAAAATAGTGCTTGTCCAAGACATCAAGAGCTCTCTGTTTTGTTTTTGAGAAGTTTAAGGTTTAGAATCCCTGAGGCTTAGAAGTGCTAATGACGCTTGCCATTTGGGGAGCTCTCCAGTTCATTCACCTGCTTGTTGGTGTTAGGTGAAATGCTCTTTTCCTGTTCTAAGTCCTTGAGAGAAATTCTGGGGCCCAAACTAACTCCGTGGCATCCAGCTGTGATTGTATTTAGTCTTCAGTGTAAGGTATAGAAGTGAGCTCTCTTCTTAAACTGGGGCAAAGACAGTGTTAGACTACCAGAAGTTACTAGAGTATTAATTTATGAAGGCCCTTATTTGGCAATAAGTCACGTGTATAATCCATGTTTTACAATGATTTTTCTATTCTAAAGGGCCTGGTAGGTAATATTTGTACATGGAAAAGTAAGCATAGGAAAGCAATATGGTGTTTAATACTTTGTGCTTCCTTTGTTTTATAACCACTTGTCCTTAGGGATGGTAAGAACAGGAATAACATGGAGTATGAGTTGTGACAATGAATGGACCGAGGCTGGCTTCATTTTGTGACCTCTTGAGGTGACCACATCTGTGGTTGGAGATGGTTTGCATCGTGGGCTTCTGGGTCCCCTTGCACTGGAGATTAGCACAAGGGAAAGGAAAGAGAAGGAAGGAATGAGATCTGCTATATAGGGCATCTCAGAGATGGAGTAAAGGGCTTCGGGATGGGAAATGAATTGTCACAGATGGAGTAGATTATCTTTAAACTCTGTGGAAAGGTTCACCATTTTCCTGGCATTCTCTCTATCATCTGTCTTTGCCCTGTGTTCCTTTAGGAGTTGTTCACAGGACTGGACAGGCAGCTGATTGCATGTGCGAGGCCAACCTTAAAGAGTAGGGCAAAGTCTACCTATGGAAATATGACTGGGTGGGCACTTTTAAGGAAGTAACATAAGCTATCAAACTATTTTTACTTCTATATTTTTCCCCTTGACATCTGTTTATCTTTAATGCACCTAGTGTTTTAGAGGGTAAATCAGAAATTTTATGTCATATGGCTTATGAGTTCAAAGCAAATTATTTAGGTATGTTTTAAAAAAAAACACATTGTCTTGGCCAGGTGTGGTGGCTCATGCCTGTAATCCCAGCACTTGGAGAGACCGAGGTAGGAGGATTTGCTTGAGCCCAGGAGTTCGAGACCCCTGCGCAACATAGTGAGACCTCGTATCTACAAAAAATCAAAGAATTGGCTGGGTGTGGTGGTGCATGCCTATAGTCCCAGCTACTTGGGAAACTGAGGTGGAAGGATCGCCTGAGCCCAGGAGGTTGAGACTGTGGTGAGCCATGATCATGCCACTGTACTCCAGCCTGGGCAACAGCGTGAGACCCTGACTCTGGGAAAGCATATTTTTATGACCTTAAATTTTAGAACTTATTATCAATCTGGAAATGACCAGATAAGTAGTTGTATCTACTTCATGTTGATTACTTCCCTCAGGGACCTTGCATTTAGCAGGGTTCTGTATATGCTCATGGTACAAGTGGTGGGACTAAGATCTTAGCATTATTTCTAGAATATTCTCTCTCTTTTGACTGTATTACTGATAAAAACATTAAAATCCTCCTAAGGTTTTTCTTTTTGTTGCCTTTTTATTGCGCTGGAAGATTGAACTGATTTTTTAAAATATAATCTTTTGAAGTACAAATTAGCTTCTTTTGAAGTCTTTAGATGCTGTTGTTTACATCTCAGAATTTTATCATTCTTAGTTGTATTAGGCATTTACATAGAAGTCTTAAAAAATGTTTCATTTCTGTATCCAAGATTAGATATTTCGAAACTAAGTTATGGCAGTAATATGGACGTTCGATCCAATTTCTTAGGATGCATGGATTCTCTAGCTAAGACCCTCTTACACAAAAAATGTTGATATTCTAGTTCAATCTACCTCTATCTCTAAAAAGTCAGAAGGCAGCAGTGATTGGCCTCATGTAGAAACTCTATAAGGTTTAAATATTGGTTGATGTGTTTGTTCATAATTGACCTGATGTTAGCAAAGTTTAAAAAAAAATTTTTTTAATGAGCACTTTGACTGTCATAGAACAGCTGAAAGTACATCACAAAATCCATGCATTTCAATACACCATTCACTTTCTGTCAGTTTTTGTTTTATTACAACCATGTTCACTTAGAACGAAGATTATCATGTAAATAGGTCAGTTGCTGATTCTGTTTCCCCAGTAGTTTTATGGTTCTATGGCAAATCCAACCCATCAGAAGTGAGACACACGTGGTGAAAGATTCCTGCTCAGTAAATACTAGAAACAAATAATTTCAACTCTAGATCAATCCAGATGAATTTTTTAGACTTTTCCGTGGAGGGCAAGCAAGGAGATACCAGTGATGTTCATGGCTGTAGATCTACCTATGAAGAATTAAGAGAGATTTTCTTTTTCTTTCTTTTTTTTTTTTTTTGAGTCAGAGTCTAACTCTGTTACACAGGCTGGAGTGCAGTGACACACTCACAGCCACTGCAGCCTCGACCTGCTGGCCTCCAGCACTACTATACCCAGCTCATTTTTGGATTTATTGTAGAGACGAGGTCTGGGCTCAGGCAATCCTCTCGCCTCAGTCTCCCAAAGTGCTGGGATTATAGGATGGAGCCGCCGCACCCAGCATGAGAGATTTTCTTATAGGTTAAAAATTAAATGTTATTGGATTGCAGTTCAGAAACAGATAAGAAACTATAATTTTCCTCTTGTGTTAAATACATTTTCTCTCTTTTGTTCTTGATTAGTCTTGTTCCAGATTTCTCTTTTTCTGTAGTTTCTTCAAAATTCAGTGTTTAGTTTTCTTGGTCACCTTTGTGTCAGGACTTTTCTATTTTGTTGCTTTCTGTTTTTAAAAAATAATTTATTTCTTTCTATTTTCCTTGGTTTATTTCTTTCTACCTTTTTGAGTTGAATTATTAGTTTCTGTGCTGAATTTACTTTGCTTTCTAATAAATGTGAAACTTCTCGTTCCCTTCTAATTACTACTTTAATTTTACTGTACAAGTTTTAATATGTAATGTATTGGTTCATTTCAATGTAGTTGTATTTACTATGGCCAGAGAAATTGGTTTATATAAGGTCGATACCTTATAATTTATCAATCCTTCCTTTGTGGCCTAACATATAGTCAATTTTTAGAATGTTCCATGTGTGCTTGAGGAGAATGTGTGTTCACACTTGTGATTTATATGTAACTATGTGTTAGGACACAAAGGAAGTTTTGGCAAAATATAAAGATTTATATGCCCTTTTATAGTAAATATGATCTCCCGATACTGATTCTCCTATTTTAAACTCTCATACTGCTTTGTTGTTTCTATGCCCTTTGCAGGAAGCCGACACAGATGAGAATCAAGGAACTTTGACATTTGAAGAGTTCTGTGTTTTTTACAAAATGATGTCATTGAGACGCGACCTTTATTTGTTGCTCTTGAGCTACAGTGACAAGAAAGATCATCTCACCGTGGAAGAACTGGCTCAGTTTTTGAAGGTGGAGCAAAAGGTATCATTAGACTGTTGGACTAAATATTTACTTGAAAATGCAAATGAAAGATACATGGCTTTCCTTTGGGGTTAGATGTAGGTATACTTTAAATTTAGGAAAGAGGAGTATAGGAGTATATGTCACAAGTCCACAAAAATTTTATCTATGGGTCATTTGATATAGGTTCCAGCAGTTTTTAAGAGAGGAAGTGATAAGTTGAACACTTGCTTATGCAGTTTTTTTACCTTAAATATTTTGCATATGGCTATACATGTTTTTTCACAAAGAAATGTTAGCTAATGTGTTTTATTTTGGATACAAAAATAATATTTTCTTTATACTAATTTTATGATGCATTAATAATAGTTTAAATTTATACCTTATTATTGTAGTAGTATAAATATATTCTATTTCTATATTGAATATACATTTATTTACACTTACATAAATTTACTTATGTTTAAAATATAAATTTATATTTATACTAATTGACCGGATATTTAACTATGACATAATTCTTAACCAGCGTTATAGTACATTATTGATAATTTTGATAGGAAATTGGAACTTGATTATGCAAAAAGACGAAGTAAATTAGGTCCTGATTAGCAAAGAGAATCCGTAAATATATTTAAAATAAGATGTTTCTATTTGAAAATTCTATAGGCTGAATTGTGATCTTCTCATACTGCTTGTCATATTCCCATATTTCTCAAACTTCACTTTTTTCTTTCTTTTGTTAATTTAATTTAATTTAATTTAGAGTTTATACTTCCCCTGAGGATGGGGTACATGTGAGGATTTGCTACATAAGTAAATTGCTTAAAGGTGAGGTTTGGGTTTCTAGCAAGTCTCTCCCCCCAATCCCCAATCGTGGACATGGTACCCAGTGGGTAGCTGAGTGTCCCTTATCCCCTCTCCCTTTCAAATTCCATTTATTTCTTACCAAAGTAGAAGAATAAATAAATATTTCATTAAAACTTTATAGACTTTTATGTTAGACTTTCTGAGGAGAGATTTCTGATTTTGCTATAGCTGATGAGGCTTACTTTTAATTTTCTTTAGATTTATAGAATAATTATCTTAATATAAAGAGGTACTTGCCTCCTTTATTCATTTTTAGGTCAAAGACATTTAGCTTTCTTCAAATTGTAAAAAATCAAATATTTGGACTCTGTGATACAATAATAATCAGTATAAATAATTCTATAGTATCCATGCAAATAATCAGCCACCCTGTGATGGAACACTTTCCTTTTTTTTTTTTTTTTTTTTGTAATGGCTTTATTAAGATATGATTCACATACAATAAAATCCAGCCTTTCAATGTGTATAATTCACAAGTTCTTAGTATATTAGCAGAGTTGTGCAATCATTACCACTATCTAATTTCTGAACATTTTCAGCATCCCAGGAAGAAACTCTACACCCACTCATTTGCAGTTATTCCCCATTTCTCTCTCTCAACCCAGACCTTGGCAACAACTAATATTTCTGTCTCCATTGACTTGTTTATTCTGAATATTTCACATAAAGGTAGTCATATGCAACCTTTGTGATTAACTTCTTTCATTTAGCGTCATGTTTTCAAGCTTCATTTCTTCTTGTTGGCTAATAATATGCCATTGTATGAATATACTATATTTTGCATATGTGTTCATCAGTGGATGGATTTGGGTCTCTTCCTTTTGAGAGGCTATGGTGAATAATGTTGCTATAAACATTTGTGTACAAGTTTTTGTGTAGACGTATATTTTCAGTTCTCTTGGGTGTATATCCAAGTAGAATTTCTGGGTCACATGATCTTATAATCTGGATTTGGATATTGTAAATACTTCACATGAGCTAGAATAAACTTCTTTTATGGAGTTCCAATGAGTAGAACATTGAGTTAATATTTGAATATTAGAGGGAGATAAATTTCCACTAACTCTAAGAAGTGTAACTGATCAACGATGGGCTAGATGGCTTTGAAAATTGTGGGATTTCTTCCTTGAAGGTGTTAACAGGGGTGTGAGATGTTATTAAGGTGATTCAAGTATGGGTAGGTAACTGGATTTGTAAAATTTCTGATTAATTCATTCTCTTGTATGAATAGGTACTATATATTCCAGACATTGTACCAAGTTTTGGTAATGGACAAAACCTACCCTCAGAGAGTTCAAAATAAAGAGATATATTTTTTGATATTTTATGATTTTGAGAGTCTATAATAAGAGGAAAGAGAATGCTAAGAAGTAAAACAACACGTGTTTTAAGGTTTGTTAGATTTTCCCTTTTTGAGGCAGATTGAAATTTATTATAATTACTGTGCTATATTTTTTTTGAACTTTTGCTTCTTTAGAAAAAGTTCCTTTGTTAAGATACTAAAAATATTAATCTAGTGATACATTATTAATGTACATAAAATCATGCTTATTTAGTTTTGGTACTAATTTGAATTAAATTGCATTTTTGACGTGGTTTCCATTTGAGAGTCATCCAATTCTTTTAACTTTCTTTAATTTTCTCCTACTTAACCTGGAAAATTATGTTACACTTGGCGTAGCCTGAAATCTATTTAGCATTTGTAATCTGAGCTAGTAAATGCTGCTTATAGATTCATAAGTGGGAAAATTCTCACTGATTTAAAATCTGCTCTGATTGAGATGGACAAACATTTTTATAGCATTTAGTGCAATTTTTTTACATGCTATTTAGTGCAATTATTTACATGCTATTGAGCTGCAGGATTAAATATTTTAATAACTTCTGAAACATCTCCATTATGCTAGATAAAAAATTTGTTTCAGTTTATAATTGAGAAAGCAGTGAGCAAATTATTAGTTATCATTCAATAGTTCATTTTTACTGCTAATATGGTAACTACAAAATGATCATTTAGAGTTGGTTTGATTAACATATTTTTGGATGGCAGGGATGAATTTATTTTCATGTGTTTTTTAATTGTATTTTTTGAGCTTTGTTTGAAAGGCCTTTTAAAATACAGAAACATTATTTGTGTGCATTCTGCCTTGTTTTTCTGTTGTTTATTCTCTCTCTCTCTCTCTCTCTCTGTGTGTGTGTGTGTGTGTGTGTGTGTGTGAGAGAGAGAGAGAGAGAGAGAGAGACAGAGAGAGACAGAGAAAGAGACAAAGACAGAGATTAACAAAGAAATAGGGAGATAGACTGACATATCTTGACTAATTCCATGTGGAAAGCTACTACATTTAAATGCCATTAATAAAGAGATTTACCTGTTTTGGGGGGTCTTCACTGCTATTTGAAGGTTCCTCTATGTTACATAAAGTGTATATTCAATAAATGTGTATGCTTTTCCCTTGTTAATCTGCCTTTTGTCATAGAGCACTATTAGTTCTTACTTAAGAGATGGCAATACCCATGTAAGAACAAGTTTTAATGCCTTTCCAGATGCCTTTTTCAAATTCTCACCGTTAAATGCATTAAACATGTTTTCTGATGATAAAAGAAAAATACCTAAGACAAATTAAATCTGACAAGGTTTAATGGAACAAAGATCTATTCATGAATTGGGCTGCTTTCCGAACCATAGTAGGCTCAGAGAAACTCCAGCCAAGCTACCTGGTAGAAGAAGATGTATGGACAGAAAAAGAAAGTGAGGCACAGAAACAGCCAGATAGATTACAGTTCAGTGTTTGCTTCATTTGAACAGTTTGAATAGTTGGCTGCCTTTGATTGGCCAAACCCTGGTGATTGGCACAAGAGGAATTTAGTTAGCTTGCATATTCAACCAGTGTATAGTTTATGAACTTCAACAAGTTTAGAGTTTATGGAGAAACCTCGAGATTGAACCCAAAATATACAAGGACACAGCTCTGTGCTAAACTTAATTTAACATGTATAGTATTTCTTTTATTCTCTTCATCAGTGGTACTGATCACCTCTTTTCAAGCAGGTTAGCACTTCATTTGTCATGAGGGGAATCTTTTTCTTTTCTTGCTTAACCCTGTGACTTTGATCATATTAACTTTTCATCCTTGATTTTGTGAGTTCCAAAATGCCTTTGGTTATGATGTTGCCTTGCAAAAATAGTGTGAGAATGAAGTGAGATGTGGTTGGAACTTCCTAGTTCATTGCCTGGATCAATAGCTGCTCAATAAATGGTCATGTCTATTTAATAGTGCAGATTTGCCCATTTCCAAGAAGCAATGTGAGATTCCAAGCGAGCAGGTACCCACACATGCTCTTGGCTATAAAATTCCACAGGGTAGGAGAAATATCTTTTCTTCAGTCATTACTAGGTTGATGGCTGAGGGTCTATGACAAAAGGCAGATTAACAAGAGCAAAGCACGCACATTTATTTAATGAACTTTTTGTAACACAGAGGAACCTTCAAATAGCAGTGAAGACCCCCCAAAACAGGCAAATCTGTGTAATTTTTATGCCAGGATTAATAAAAAGTGGACAATTGTGGAGAAATATGATTGGATGACAAAAGGGGATGGCCTCCTGGAAATAAATTGAGAGAATTTATCAAGGCCTGTTTGTTCAGATTCTTCTTGGGTTCTTTTTGTCTTCGACTCCTTTCCTCTGGGTATAGGGAGGTGCGGCTCCTCTTGGATGAGAGTCTCTTGAACAAGGGTCTTAGGACTAGCTGCTGGGGAAGATCAGAAAATTCTTCCTGGGTCTTATGACCTGCGTTAGGGTAGAAGAGCTGGGGAAAGGTCAGAGTGAACTTTCTGCTTTTGCTGTTTTCTCAAAGGCCAGGGTGCTATATTTTAGGGTAGCATGTACTAAACCCCACCCATTCTACACATGACTAGAATTTTCTTCCAAATTACTTCTCCTTTGCCTCCTCCCTCCCACGTCTTTCATGGAATGATAAAAGAAAATATATATTTGGTTTTTGTTCCCAGTTCCTGGCACAGAGCTCCTAAAATCCTTTTAATTTTCTGAGTGGCAGGTGTATTTTTTGTTATTTATCATGAGACCCTTTCAACCAAGCCTCAGTTTATGCTCATGAGGTGACTATTGGTGGCCCCCTAGATGGTTTCAG